ACTTCCCAAGTCATTGTTGTCACATCATGAGTTTCTTCCATTAATTCCCACCAAATTCGGGCATCACCCCGAAACAAGAAACTCGCATATCGGATCTTCTCCCGTCTGACATGGGAAATAAACCCGTGGCTTGTTTTACGGACCCAAGCCACTCTTCTGCTATTATTGGATCTGTAGTACCCTTAACTCTGAGGGTTGATGTTGACTGGAAAGACCGTAAATCGGTTCAATTCTGCTCTGTACTGGGGGAGGTACCGGTTGCCCTTTCGACATGCGCAACGGCGGTACCTAACGGGGGTTTCAACTCTCCCTGGGTTTCTGCCATAACTTGCTGTATAATTCCCCGAATTCTAGCTTCATCCAAGGAGGGGGCGTAGACTCTGGGGTTAGAAGGTTCTCCCTTCATTCACCACACCCTTACCACGTTTTCGGTAACTACGCCTCATCTACAAATAATCACACCAATTAACTCGAGAAACATTACCTTGTAACGAAAGAATTAACTTACACAGTCGGTTTTAGGACGTCGTGGCGATGAGAATAGTACACTGCTCAATCCAAAATCTTTGCTTGATACCAAAAATGTAACAACTGCTGTATCTAGTACAATGCATGCTAATAACACATAGAAAATGGCCCAAAACTTTTCTTTTTATTATAAGTATACGTCTTTTATACACAAAGAGCATCATTTAAAAAAAAGCCATTTTAAAAGACAAAAACAGGGAAACAGTGTAGCTATTGCTCCTCGTTGCGCGATGCCCTTCCGACTGCATCATCACCTAGATCCTGCATCCACAAAGGAAAATAACGGGGTGAGCACAAAATATGCTCAGTAAGTAAAACCCTCTATCTGTTTATCCCCGTATGTAATTCTTTTAATTCTTTCCTCACATTTTCTGTTGTTTCCTACTAAAGTCATGACCTCATCTTACCGGAGGCAGCCGGATGGGTTCACAAGCACCATCTCACTCTTCATGACTGTCGGGTGGAGTTCACACAACATCAACCCGTTCTTAGTGACTACCGAGTAGGGATCACGAAGCACCTACCCGTTTTCGTAACTATGGTGGAGACCACAAAGCACCTACCCGTTCTTATGACTTGGGTGACGATCACAAAGCACTAACCCGTTCCTAATCACTGTGGTGATGATCACAAAGCATCAACCCACTTCTAATAAATGTCGGGTGATGATCACAAAGCATCAACCTCTTTCTAATAACTAACCAGGTGATGATCACAAAGCATCACACTCTTTCTAATAATAACCAGGTGATGATCACAAAGCATCCACACGTTTTCTACTATCGGTGATGATCACAAAGCATCAACACTTTCTATAATAACCGGGTGATGATCACAAAGCATCCACCGTTTCTATACCTATCGGGTGATGTCACAAAGCATCAACATTTAATGCTAGTCGAGTGATGATCACAAAGCATCAACCCGATTCTCATAACTGTCGGATGATGATCACAAAGATCAACCCATTTCTACTACTCTTTCATTCACTCTACTCTAGCACTTCTCATTCTCTCTACCCTTAAGTAGTTGCATCCACAAGGTTCTCTACTCAAGAGCAAGTGTATACACAAAGTTTCCTACTCTTTTTAGGTCACTTCTCAATGCACAATTAATGCCTATGGATGGTTCTCTCCACTAATACACTTATGAAATGCCAACATGCATGTTGCAGAATTAAGGTTCATTACTCATACTCAAACCTCTATTAGGCATTTCATCAAACACTCAAGTGCATAATAAACTCTACTATAACATAATTCTAAGTCTTTCTCTAACCATCCAAATGAGGAGAAACCCCCTCACATAGCCATAAATCCTGCCAAAGAAAGACACTTCCAAAAAGGATTCCTCAATATCCTTCAATTCCATCTCAAACTACCTTTCCAACCCACATTCACTTCTTATATTAGAAATGTATAAAATCACCAAGCACTAGAAATCTCCATTTAAGACTCAAATATGGCGTATAACATGTATACAACACATACATAATTGCTATCAAAACCCTAATCAAGAAATTCTCAAATCAACTTGGGTTGGGATTTACTTACCTTGTTATGGATTTCACTAGCTCTTCCTTTCACTTGGTTTGCTTGACTTTTTCTACACTTAAACAAATGAACAAAAACCCTCATAATCAAATATATTCAAAACTCACAAAGCTTCACAACCAAAGCAAGAATCCTTACCTTAAGGTGCCTTAGATTGATTTCTATCCCAAAATCACCAAAAGGAAGCTTCTGCGTCGCGGCGAAACTGTCTAGCAGCTTCCCCTTGGCTTCAACACCTCTTCGCCGCGGCAAGATTCTTCTTCGCCCCGGCGAAGACTGAAACACTAACTTCTTCTATTTTCAACCAATATCAGGCAAGTGTTCAACATATCACTCAAAGGCCAACCCAACAATAAGATACAACTCAACAAAGAGAAAAGAAGAAGCATTACTACGTACCCTCAAGTGGGGGTACTACTACTTTGTGCCTAAGTCTTATTCTCAGGCTCTACTCAAGAGTGTTGGCACCAAGCTATGTGGACGACTTCAGGCTCTTTAGGACATCAGAACATGGGACATCATCTTGTCCTCCTGGAGTTAGACCTATTGGATGCAAATGGGTCTACACCATCAAGCTACGTGCTGATGGCTCTATCGAACGACTAAAGCTCGTCTTGGCACTCGGAATCGACAAGAGTATGGGCTTGATTATGAGGAAACATTCGCTCCTGTGGCCAAAATGACTACTGTTTCGTATTGGCATTGCTGTTTCGAAAGGATGGTCGTTCGCCAAATGGATGTGAAGAATGCGTTCTCACATGGTGATCTGAAGGAAGAAATATTGTGTCTCCTCCTCCTGGCTTGTTTCCTTCCTCTTCTGTTGAGGTTTGTTGCTTAAAGCGGTCTGTGTATGGCTTGAAGCAGGCACCACGGGCATGGTTTGAGAAGTTTCGTACTACTCTACTGGATTTCACTTTTACTCAGAGTCAGTATGACTCTTCTCTCTTCTTTCGCAAGACTACCCTTGGGATCGTTATACTTCTTGTGTATGTCGATGATATTGTGATTACTGGATCTGATCTCCAGTTAATTGACAAGCTCCAACAGCGCCTCAAATCTTCATTTCATATGAAAGATCTTGGTCCACTGCAATATTTTCTTGGACTTGAGGTTCAACATTGTCTGAATGGCACGCTCTTACATCAGCATAAGTACACCCAAGACCTTCTTTCTTTAGCAGGCCTTCAAGACGGAAATTCGGTTCTTACACCTATGGAGGTCAATTTGAAGCTGTGTTAGGCGGATGGTGATCCCTTATCTGATCCTTCAATGTATCAACAGCTGGTGGGTAGTTTGAATTATTTGACCATTTCTCGACCTGATATCTCGTTTGCTGTTCAGCAGGTCAGTCAGTTTATGCAGGCTCAATGCCAGACACATTTGGCTGCTGTCCGTCGTCTTCTTCAATATCTCAAAGGGACATCTGGTCACGACTTGTTTTTTCCCTCAGGGAATTCTTTACAGTTGAAGGGTTATAGTGATGCCGACTTGGCTGGTTGTGCGGATACTCGTCGTTCTGTTACAGGTTGGTGTATGTTTCTTGGCGATGCCCTCATTTCTTGGAAGAGTAAGAAGCAAGCTCGTGTCTTGAAGTCATCCACCGAGTCTGAATATCGGGCTATGTTGTCTGCCTGTTCTAAAATTGTATGGCTTCGAGGGTTGTTAGGCGAACTCAGTGTTCCACAGCTTACTCCTACTCCTCTTCATGTTGATAATACCAGTGCTATTCAGATTGTTGCCAATCCTGTTTTTCATGAGCGCACCAAACATATTGAAGTGGATTGTCATTCCATTCATGAAGCCTTTACTCGCCAGGAGATTACTCTTCCACACATTTCCACTGAACACCAAATTGTTGATGTCTTCACCAAGGCTCTCCCTCGTCCTCGCCATCAGTTCTTGATTGACAAATTGATGCTTCTTGATCGCCCAGCATCAATTTGAGGGGGGATGTTAGCAGAATTAACAGTTGGATATGTGCTGACCTAGTCTATAAAGGCAGCATATATTCTATCCTTTTTTAGTCTAGCTATATATAGAAGAGTATATTGTATATATGCATAGAATTGATAGGCGTTGATTCTTACCTTGCATAGTCCTGTGTAATGGCTGATTTTCAGCCTTGTAATTAGCCCGACAGCTTCTATATAAAGAGAGCAACTCTCACAAGGAGAGATACATAAAATAAAACCCATATTGACAAAAATAAAGAGCATCTTCATTAAATTTAAAGAGTCTATTGGATTTGCATAAAAATTGTGTTCTTTATATTTTAAAATTAATGAAGATGATATTTATTTATATGAAAGATGCTCTTCAAAAGAAAGAGTACCATTGAAGATGCTCTTACACACATCTCAACTAATCTCCTAGGACTCTCAAACTATCGATCAGATAAGAGCTTCAATAGCCAGTTTACGCACATCTTAACTAATCTCTTAAGACACCGGAACTACAAGGTACTGGCCAGGTAAAAGTTTCAATAAATACCCCTATTAATACTCGAAAAATGACTCAAATTTAGAACTTTTTAATAATACACCAAAAAAATCCTTCATTCAATCATCCAGTCAAGATGATTGATTAAACAAACAAGAATATATCGGAACAAATTGTGTTAATCGAAGAAATTGTAAATCTTTATTTAAATTTGGTAAATTTCATTTAAAAAAAAAAAACCAAGTGAATAAAGACACGTGTTAGTTTCGAAGTCTTTCGAATGTCTGGTGGTAATGCAACGAACTGAGTAGATAGAAATCGAGAGGTGGCGTGGCGCCACTTAAGCAACCTCCTCTCTCTCTCTCTNGTCAGACTACATTCAGGTAATTTGTGGTAAATAATAAGAGCAACAATTAAGAAATGGAGAGTAAACCACATATTACAAAGAATCCAATAGAAAAAGAGCATTGCATGGATTTTGAAACTTGAAAGAAATAATTAGGAATCAAGTACCTTGACTAGAGCAATATTAGCAGGGATGACAGGGATGTCCCCACTTGCAAAGCCAATTATCAAGATTTGAGCGCCCCAATTCAAAAGCTTCATGCAATCTTTAGTAAGCTTACCTCCAACAGGATCATAAAAAACATCAACCCCTTTCAGATTCCTCGACTTGAGGAACTTTTTGACACTTTCAATGACATTCTCATTGCTCAAGTCTACAACATAATCAACACCCAATGACTTCAAAAATTTTATCTTTTCAGCGCCCCTGACATCCAAAATGCAATACAAAGTTTTATAAGTATTAATTTAGGATGATACTATCGCTCTTCCCAAAGAATGATTGCAACTAAATATTTAACAAGATGCCGAATAAGAAAGAGTACCTAGCAACGGCAATAACAGTGGCCCCACGAACCTTGCCAATTTGTACAGCAGAAAGGCCAACACCTCCAGCAGCACCAAGAACTAGCAAGACCTACATATCCATCCAAGTCCAACATAAGCGTAAGTATGCACTCTCTCTCCAACACTTTCTTAAAATTCGGAATTAACTCTTGCAAGAATTCTCATATACAATTAAAAAGCAAAGCAAAAAATGGCAATAGGATACCTGGGTAGAGGTCAACTGAGCCCTGTGAACAAGGGCGACATGTGAAGTTCCAAATGCAACAGGAAGAGCGCCAGCAGCCAACAAGTCACAGCCCTCGGGCACTAGAAACCTTCAATGAAACATTTAATATCTATCAAATAGATAAAATCCAGGTCATTTTGAAGTGAAAAAAAAAAAAAAAAAAAAAAAGCGATGCAATACTAACAATTGAGACTGATCAGCAACTATGTACTGGGCAAAAGAACCAAGAGCTGCAAAGGAACAGACAGGATCTCCCACTTTGAAATTGGAAACATTGGAACCCACGGCATCTACAATCCCAGAATAATCAGATCCAGGGATGAAAGGCAAGGGAGGTTTATCTTGATATTTACCCAATATTTGGAGGTAATTTGCGTAATTCAAGCTGGTTGCTTGCACTTTGACTCTAACATCTGTTGGAGATTTCAATTCTGGAATTGGCTCACTTTTACTGACCTCGATTGGTGAATTATTACCCAATGTTGGATCACCCAATTTCCTACACACTAGAGCCTCCATTTCCGCGTTCGTTGAAACCAAAGTACCAAACCAATAAGTTGAAATTTTTTTGACTTTAAATATGTATTTATCTATATATCAAGGGAGAGACATAATGTCAGCAAGTAAACGACATCGTTTTTATTCAGCGTGGACTGGTATTGACTGGATATTTTGTTCTATTTATCCACTTATAAGTGAGCCTCTTTGCGTTGAATAAAATGAAAGAATGACAGAATGAGTGGAGTTGTGTATACAGTTAGTTTCAAGTTTAGGAATGATTACTTGTATCACTTTTATAATGTGGAGTCTAAGAGATATGGTGGTTTGGATTTCAATCACAAACAGTTGTTGATATCTAACACCAACACCAACACCACGCTCCTTGCTGCTGCAGCTTCTTCTTCAGCCGCCGGTGGTGCTAGTTATTCTGGTTTAGTTTCTTTCTCTTTCTCCATTATTTACCATTATCCTAAATGAATTGTTCCCCTGTGTGTTTATTATATAATTTGCATATGTTTATTCGCTTCCTGGTAGTGAAGCGTAGATTATAGCCATACCTCCTAAATATGTATATTTCCTGACTCTTATTTTGTGGGGGAACCAAGTGAGAGTGTAGTATTTTAGATTCTGAAAAACTCGGTTCCTTTTGACTCTTCAGAGCAATTGTTGGATGCGAAAGTGAAGCAGAAAAGGAAGAGAATAGCCGGCATTGATCAGGATGAATTGTTGGATCCGGCACTTTTAGCTGACCCAGACAGTTGTTTTTGTGAGTTCAAAGGAGTGCATATACACCACAAGGTATATGATGCAGAATCACAAGCGGATCACTCTTTAGGGAGCCAGATTCTTTCACAACTCCCTCAACAAACAAAGAAAATTGGATTTTCAATGGTTTTATTACATGGATTTGGAGCCTCAGTTTTCTCATGGAACCGAGTTATGAAGCCTTTGGCTGGTGTCACTGGCTCTAAAGTACTTGCCTTTGACAGACCAGCCTTTGGGTTGACTTCAAGGGTATTTTCTTTTCAGCGTTCTACTCCTGATACTGAGGATAAAAAGTCTTTAAATCCCTTCTCCATGGCATTTTCTGTGCTTGCTACCTTGTATTTCATTGATTTCTTGGCGGCTGAGAAGGCAATTATAGTAGGGTATGTATGTTTGAATGTTTCTTATCTTCTTTTTACTGTTAATTGGTCTTTCCATTGTAAAAGATCTACAGCCAGTCTGATGCCAATTCCGGCATAGATGCTAGCACGCATGCTACATTTCTTACATGGAAAAAAAAATCTCATTTATCATATCGAGCAGAACTATATGTTCACTACAAAAAAAAATACTCATGGGTGCTAGGGAGAGGTCATTTCTATAGTTCTTCCAGTTTCTTTCAAATGTTAGCTCAGTTAAGTAGATCCTAATTGTGCCTTTCTTCTGTTAATAATCAATCTTGGTGGAATTTGATTTCTTTTCTCTTTTTTCTTTGCTAAAAGATGGTATCTGTCTGAACCTTTTATAACATTGACATGCCAGGCATTCAGCTGGTTCTCTTGTGGCAGTTAATTCATATTTTGAAGCTCCTGAACGAGTTGCTGCTCTCATCCTCATTGCCCCTGCTATATTGGCCCCACGCATTGTACAGAAGGTTGTTGAAGGAAATCCCTGGGAAAGAAATGACCAGATTGAAAGAGATAGATCAGGTTCATTTAATCTAGTAAAGCCATTTGTCAAGCTTTATGGGATTTTGTCAATGTTTACCAAGCACATTGCACAAGCTATATTGCGGGTGGCAAAGGGAATGGCAGATATGGTCAATTCTCTGTATAAGAAATTATTGTCCACTGTTCTGCGCTCTGCTTTTGGCGTAATGCTGGTATAGAATTTATTTCTAGACATTCTCATGGGACAATATGTTTTGAGTTTCTCTGTACCTGTTCAATTGACTTTTTAAGCCTGCCAAATCAAAATTTTGAAGGTTGAATACTATCTTTATTTTTGTTTTTTCCCTCAGTACAATCTAAACATCTTTAACACGGTAGAACCTTATAAGCAGAAGGTGGATAAAATACTTCTCAGATGAATTTGTGGGACCCTTGTCCAATGACATTTGATTTGCACACCAATTATTTTCAATTATTTGCAGGATTCACATGCATCAGAATTATGTTGAAATGTGTTTAATGAAGAATTGGAGAATAAATCTGACTGATTGATCCAGCTTTGTTTGGTTACCACATATGTTACATACGTTGCTGGACAAGTCATTTTAGTACTAAACCAGGATCTCCAATTACTATTAGATGGGAAGGTTGAGGTCCAAGGAGGTTTCCCTCAATGAAAGAAAAACAACCATAATTTTGTTCTATTATTCTGTTAATGCATTTTGGCACTTAGTTTAATTTTTATAATATATTTTACATGCTCGTCAAAACTTACCTTTGTGATTCTCAGGTAAGAATGATAATTGATAAATTCGGTATAGCTGCTGTAAGGACTGCATGGTATGATTCCAAAAAAGTTACAGAACACATCCTTGATGGTTATACAAAGGTAATGTATCCTGTTAACTTTATCTTTCTTGTTTTTTCCAAAGTTTACGAGGCAGAATAAAACAATAATTTCTTTTATCCTTTCATAAGAAACAAAAGAACAAAACAATGAATCATGTTATTATGTTATTTGCAGCACTGACCAGGAGTTTTGGTCGTTTGCAGCCATTAAGGGCTAAGGGTTGGGATAGGGCTCTTGTGGAATTCACAGCAGAAATGCTAACAAATAGTGAATCAGAACCAAAGCAGCCACTAGCAAAAAGACTTCATGAAATCTCATGTCCTGGTAATGATACCGGTATCTTACCTATTCCCACTTTAGTCAAAGCATCTGATCTAGGCTGTTTTAAGGCTAGACTTTTCTAATGATTTACTACCATGTCATGGATGATTGTGCATTTTCTAAATCTTGCATCCGATGACAGTTTTTGATCTCTTTCAATATTCTTTCATTCTGCCGTAGATACAGATACTCATTAGTTTGAATAAGTGGAATGTAGTTGTGATGCTTGTCATTTTCTGAATGAAACCCAGTTCTGATTGTCACGGGTGATACTGACCGAATTGTCCCCTCTTGGAATGCTGAGAGACTTTCACAAGCCATACCAGGATCTAGCCTTGAACTAATTAAGAATTGTGGCCACTTGCCTCATGAAGAAAAAGTCGAGGAGTTTGTTTCAGTTGTTGAGAGGTTTCTGCGAAGAGCTTTTGGCAGTTCAGAGGAGAGCGAGCAAGCAGTAATTTAAAATTTGCGTGTGGTGTAGATAGTGTTTAAAGTTTGTTAAAAGAAGACTGGTAAATATCAATCAGAAGCATTTTGCTTTTGGGGGAGGGGAGGAAGGAAAGCTACTAGGAAATGTTAAATGACGGCTATTTTTTTTAAGTTCATTGGTGGGAGACTGAACAAACACTTCGTAACTGTTAAAAAGAGCTCTTCCAAGTTGCAGTATCTAATGGAGATTATATTCCCAGTTGATGTTATGATGGTTATGAAACATTTTTAGTCCAGTCCAGTCCAGGGAAACTGGTGATACATGTGATATTTCTTAGATATACAAGAGCTGTAACATTAGATATGCTTCAGGTCTTCATTATGATAAATATTTGATATACTTCATTATTCTTTTTGCTAATATAATTTGAGATCTTTATAGCTTCACAATGGCATAATATTTAACTGCTCCAGAAATTCTGCTATTACTGCCAAATGTTGCCTTGAGCAAGCAAATCAACTTTCCAGGACTTGCACGACACGATCTATGGTAACTATTAAATGAAATATTTCGCCAAGCGGTTGGATCATCATGGAATATAATAAAATCTCATTCCATCTCATAGAATTACAGAAATTACAGGATAATCACTGTATCAGAAGGGAGGATCAGTTGATATGGTAAGACTAGGATCCTGTAACCCTGAAGGTACATCAAATCCTGACATGAAGTCATCACCAAAGAGAACAGCACCAGCTGCCAATGCTCCAGCACCTACTCCCATTCCAAAGCCAGGTCTCACGCCTCGTCCTGGGGGTCCGGATGATGGTGTATCCACATAAGTTGACGACAAATGATCTGTTCTAGGTAGAAAAGTGGGTATGTAACCTACATTGGAAGGTGGTGGTGGTGGTGGAGGAGTTCGTGGTGGACGATAGCTGGGTCCTGCAGGTGGAGGGTAGCTTTGTCCACCAACTGACACGTTTGAATAATTTGTAGAGTATGGCACTGAATGGGCATATGGAAAATTTGTCTGTGATTGGTTTTCTGGTCGATAAAGAGGCACGTTCAGAGGCAGCTGTGTTGCGTAGGCTTGTCCTGAACCTCCTTCAGTTGACAACTTGACGTTGTTGCTTTGATCCATGAGCATGATTCCACCTTCGTTACCTTAAAAAAGATAAAAAAGTTAAATTCAATATTCATATGTTAAAAATCCCATCCCAGGGACTAAAATGTGGCACTTAACAAATTGTTCAAAATAACTTCATTAATAATTGTTTATGCTAAAAAGAAAAACAAAAAAATCTACACACGAACCGAAAGGTTTGCCAAAGAGTTGATCTCAATGATCAGAGGCACAATATTGTAAGTGCATTAGCTCTAAGAGAATTATAGCATAAATACCTTGGTATAAACTTGTCTCTTCCCGTTCTTCTGAGATACGAATTGAAATATCAACAAATCCTTGAGGTTTGTTGGAATTTCTTTTGCGCAACTGATAGCTCCCGACTTCTTCAGTTCCTGGTCTGGAACCCTCAGTATTCTTGCTATACTTGGCCATAAATTCTTTCAAGACAATAGTAGCAGTTCCTTGAAGCCTTTCCCTGAGAAAAATGGGCTCTCTGCTGTAGACTTCAACATGCAAAGCCATATCTTGGAACTTTGAGTCATCAACTAAGGCAGCAAACTTGGTTCTCCATACCGGGTTTGCATTCCCAGAAGCATCAATCTTGGTGCAATATTTGTTGTTAGGATCAATCCACCCAACAGCAAACCATTGAAGCTTCCAAAGGGAAGAAGAACGACCAAGTCCCCGGGCAGAAATCAGGCAGACTTCAATCCAGATTTTCCCCATATCAAGAAAGTGAAGAAAATGAGAGATGGTGAGAGAATTTGTCCCCTGTAGGTTTCTCCTATCTATAAAGTTGACAGAGAAAGGAGGAAATTCAAACCAATTTGCATTCTTTCCAAGGCTACTTTACTTGGATCGTGAAAAAATTCTTGTTCTTAGGCATTATGTGGGGCAATATTTTGTCAACTTTTCTCCTACAAAGTGCATTACAGATAAGAAAGAATCCGTGTCGACGTGGCACAACAATGTGGCTAAAGCCTAAAATCCTTAAAAATTAAAATAGTCATCTGGCCAGTAAAAGAAAAGAATTACAAAATGATTCTATACCTGGGCGGTGCTCAGAGCCAATAAGTCAAAGTTGTCCAAGACAGTGTCATCAATGCTTTATTTACAAATGTGAACAGTGAAGACGAAATTGTTCAGGAATTCAATGTATAGATAAGGGACTGAATTTCTGGAGCAAAATATTGATAAATGAACTTACTGTTAGCAGAATTGACAGTTGGATATGTGCTGGCTAGTCTATAAAGGCAGCATATATTCGATCCTTTTTTAGTCTAGCTATATATAGAAGAGTATATTATATATATGCATAGAATTGATATGCGTTTATTCTTACCTTGCATAGTCCTGTGTAATGGCTGATTTTCAGCCTTGTAATTAGTCCGATAGCTTCTATATAAAGGGAGCAACTCTCCCAGGGAGGGTATTCAGAATAAAACCTAAATTGACATGGTATCATAGCCACAAATTATTTTCGTGGTTTTCTCTCGGCTTATCTGAATTCGTAGTTCTTGTTTTCTTTTTGGTAATTTATTTTTTGAGTGTTGCTTGGTAGCTATCGGCTCTTGGTTTTCTGTTGCTTGGTGGCTGTTGGTTGGAGAATTTCTGGTTGTGACGAATTCTTGGTGGTTGTTGACAGATTCTAGAGGGGTATTTCTGGTGAATCAGGTTTATACTTTCTGATTATAATTTTTTCGCAATTCTGGTTTGGGTGTGTGACTATTGGCAAATTTTTTTTTTTGGTGTTGTTGGGCTGTTGCAATTTTTGTTCTAGTAACTGTTGTGATTTCTCTACTCTATCAATTTTTTTTTTTATCATTTTTTTTTTTTTTTTTTTGTGGTTATTATGTTTGGACAAAATTCTATTGTTCGCTTTAATGGTAAGAACTATGTCAGTTGGGAATTTCAATTCAGGTTGTTTGTAAAAGGGAAGGAGTTATGGGGTCATTTGGATGAGTCTTCTAAGGCCCCAACTGATCCCAAGGGACTTAGTTTATGGGAAAGTAGGGATGCCAGAATTGCTTCCTGGCTACTCAGCTCTGTTGAACCTCATATGGTCAACAATCTTCGTGGGTTCACTACTGTTAAGGTAATGTGGGATTACCTTCGGCAATTTATTATCAAGATAATTCTGCTTGAAAGTTTCAATTAGAGTTGGACATTGGAAACTATCGCTAGGGGAACCTCTCTATTGAGCAATTTTATTTCGGTTTTATTAATTTATGGAGTGATTATTCTGGGTTGGTGCATTCTCAGGTTCCCAAAGCAGCTTTGGCAGCACTACAAACGGTTCACTCTGAGAGCCAACTGGATCAATTCTTGATGAAGCTCAGACCCGAGTTTGAAAGTGCATGAGCTGGGTTAATCAATCGCACACCTTTCCCCTCTTTGGAGGTTTGCTTGGGTGAACTCTTGCGTGAAGAACAACGTCTCGCCTCATAGCTTGGCCTTGATCAAGACGCTGGTGGTTCTGAGATGGTTAATATAGCATACGCTGCTCAAGGTAGAGGACGATCCAGATCTCCACCACAATGTTATAGTTGCAAGGAAATTGGGCACATTGCCAAATATTGCAGCAAGAAATTCTGTAATTATTGCAAGAAGGAGGGTCATATCATTAAGGATTGTCATGTACGCCCTCAAAATCGATACGCTCCTGCTTTTCACACTGCTGTTCAGTTTGCTTTTGTGCCTATATCTTCCACTCTACCCGCTATACCAAGTTCTTCTTCCAACATTACTCTTGAGCAGGTTCAACAAATGATTATTTCTGCCCTTTCTGCTCTTGGTCTTCAAGGTAAGACACATCTCCTTACTTCTCCTTGGTTAATTGACTCTGCGGCTTCCAATCACATGACTGGCAGTTCAACAGCTTTACAAGATGTTCGTAAGTATGATGGTGAGCAGCATATTCAGATTGCAGATGGCAATACTCTTCCTATTACTGCGGTTGGAAATTTGGGGTCTTTCTCTACTAATGTTTTCGTATCTCCTGATTTATCTGCCAATCTCATTTCCATTGGACAATTAATAGAAGATAATTGTTCTATTCATTTTGATTGTTCTGGTTGTCATGTGCAGGATCAAGCATCGGGACAGGAGATAGCGAAGGCGCCTAAAGTGGGATGTCTATTTCCTCTTCAGTCGTTTTTTGTTCCTCGTTCAATTTCTGCTGGTTGTTCTGCTATTGCTAATAATAATAGTCATTTTTGGCATAAGAAATTGGGTCATCCCAACTCTGTCATTTTGACACATCTTATGAAGCATGGTTATTTGAGTAATACAAATAAGTTTTCTTCCTTGTCTTTTGATTATGCTCCTTGTAAACTAGGAAAAAGCAAATCTTCACCTTTTCCTTTGCAAGGTAGTCGTGCTTCTACATGTTTTGAAATTATTCATTCTGATGTTTGGGGTATGAGTCATGTTCTTTCTCATGCTCAATACATGTATTTTGTGACATTTATTGATGATTACAGTCGTTTCACGTGGGTCTATTTTCTTCGTTCTAAAGCTGATGTGTTTTTAACCTTCAAAACTTTTGTTGCCTATGTAGAAACCCAATTTTCTACCTGTATTAAGATCTTACGTTCAGATTCTGGGGGAGAATACATGTCTCATGCTTTTCAATCTTTTCTCCAACAGAAAGGTATTCTTTCTCAGCGTTCGTGTCCTTACACCCCTCAACAAAATGGCGTCGCCGAGCGTAAGAATAGACATCTTTTAGATGTTGTTCGTACATTGATGCTTGAATCGTTTGTCCCTACTAGATTTTGGGTAGAAGCATTATCTACAACTGTATATTTGATTAATCGTATGCCTTCTCCTATCTTGCATCTTGGTTCTCCATATTCTCGTTTGTTTGGTGTTCCTCCTAATTACAACACTTTGCATGTTTTTGGTTGCGTTTGTTTTGTTCACTTACCTCCCATTGAACGTCACAAGCTTGCTGCCCAATCTGTTCAGTGTGCTTTTCTTGGCTATAGTAACTCTCATAAAGGATTTGTGTGTTATGATGCCGATGCTAACAAACTTCGTATTTCTCGCAATGTGATTTTTTTTGAAAATCAATATTTCTTTCCGTCTCGTACTAATCTTGTTTCTTCCTCTATTTCACTTCCTGCTTTTGATGATGTGTCTAGTACTCCTTTTCGTTTTAAGCCAGGTATTGTGTATCAGCGATGTCGCCCACTGCCTCTTCCTTCCTCTGAACCGCCACCTGATCTTGTCTTGCATGAGCCCCGCCGGTCTACTAGGGTTTCCTGGCCTCCAAATTGGTATGGTTTTTCTTCTTCCGCTCTTCAGGCTACTCTTGAT